AAGCCTGAGCCGCCCGCTGTGATAGCGGGAGGCAAGGGTTGGCGACGACAGCGCTTCAGGAGGCATGCAACAATTTGAGGTTTGCGGCTTAGGCCGGAAGGATTTGATGTCAGGCCTCCGTGGTCCATGTCAAAGCCCCATGAACAATCAAAGTCGGTGATTCCTCAGGCCCTGATTAACCCTGTTGATATGTATTCACGATTGCCCCTCATGCCCCCCGGAAAATATCTATCTTTGCATTTACTTGCTTTAGGAATTAGCCTTAGGCTTCAATCCTCACTGTCATCGCTATTAGTGTGGTTTTGTGCGTGCGCTCGTGCAAGTACTTGGAACGGTGTGCTAGAATCTTGCAGCATTCTACTAGGCCGCTCTTCTCTGCAAGAGCAAGATGAGCTGTGAGGGGATGCAATGCAACTGCTGTTTCGTAAGGTTGCAGTACTGTATATGATTGTCATACTGCTTGCGCAGGATGACTTATCCACTCGTTATTCCATGATTCCATAGTGTTTGGGGCTGGGCTGCGCTGAGCAGAACTCATTTGCCCCGTTGCCACCACTCTGTGCATACTGTTAGTCTTGACCAAGTGAACTGGTCAGCTTGTAACGGTTGAGTCGACTCCGCTGAGAGCTTAAACTCAGCATACCTGCAATGGCACTGTCCAAAGTCTGATGGCGCCTGTTGTAGACTGAAAGTCCATGCTGTGCCAGGGCAAAGCTCGACAGATTTGTAAAGAATCGTGTTTTGTGTGATGCCATAAGGACCCCACCCCACCTCGTTATTTCAAAAAAAGCTTCGCACCTGGCCAATCATGATGAGCAGTTCCCTGGCAGCGGTTGGAAAAACACGATCATCCCAGTCAACCACCATGTTTGAGCTTGAAGCCCGTAAGGCGGGACAGACTCAACTGTGACTGGCGATGCCTCTGCCGAGCAAACGAGCTTGTGAATCGCATGCCTCCACACTGATGGTTCAAGACTAATTCGATCAGCCTGTACTTTGAGAACGCAACAGCATGCCGTAGCAGGTTCCTTGCTAGTTGCAGTGTCAAGACTGGACAGTTGATTATGCAGAGGAAAGCACGCAGACTTGCTGTACCCCTGTTAGTGGAGCGGGTCGCCTTACCTGCAAGACCTGAGCTTTGACCCAAGAAAGCTCTTCTCTCGACTTTTCTGACAAGTCGCCTGGCAACAGCTGAGACACTGACAAGTTGAACAGCAACTAATCGTTCAACAGAAGCTCCCAAGCACTGATTGGCAAACAAGGTTGCATGCTCCAATCAGCCTTCGGCTTCGTGGCAATGCCCTTAGCTTTGACTGCTGCATGTAGAAGCAGCAGCACAATTTCTGCGCGGCAATGGAAGAAGAGTTTGCTGTCGCCTTCTTTGAAGCAAATTCTGGCTCTGTTGGGCAAAGACATGGTCATGGTATGTTTGTCCGCTTGGACTTAGCCGACTGCAGGCCGGCTATGCATGTAGGGCCCAATGCGGCTCCTTCCCCTGCGCGGCCGCAGCCCTAGCAGGGCCTGAAGTTTTGGAGCCTGTAGCGAAGAGATGGACCGACTCCAAGTGCAGCCAGGCCAGCTGCAAAGGGGCTGCCAACTCGCGTCCGTATGCCTGGCCTGGGAGTGTAGCAGCAAGCTGTATTTAACGTAGCACACATTCGCACTTCAGTTCCATTTTGAAAGTGACATCGCTGCTTCCGATTGCAACTCTTAAGCAGGCTGTCTGCGCCAACGGTGTTGCTATGTACGTCATGCAGACGAATGTTCCCGTGCCAGGTTTAAGTTGAGCATTGTCATACACAGCGCCGCGGTGGAAAAGATTGGAGGGCCCGGACTGGTACAGGCTGGGTCTATTGAAAGTTGGTTCGTATATCATAATCCGCAGTGTTTGCCGCAGTACCACGGACCATGGATGCTGATCGAAAAGTCCGCCTTGACTTGCTTCTAGATTCCTTCCGACAGGACCAGCGGCCATACATCACCATCCGAATTAATGACAAGCAGAAGGATGGATCGGAGGGAGTGGCAGGGCTTTTGCGGGATCTACGCGTGAGCTGTGATGTAAGCTCTGTGAATGGCTGGAGCTGGTGTGAAGGGTCTAGGGTTTAGGGTTTAGGGTTTCAGTCCAGGAAACGGAACTGGGAGACTGGAGCGCGGAGAAGGAGCAGTGGTGTTTTCGAGAGGCCCCAAGGGATGCGAGTCCATGTTTGGGCCCAGGATTGGGAGCAAGATCAGGATGTCTCACTATGTTAATAATATTTATTAAAGTGTTTTCAGAAAGTGTGTGTGTGTGTGCTCGAGCCCGCTTCCTTGCATCTGACTTGACATACGCGCCACATCAACTGCCGGAGTCAGCAAAGCAAAGCGACATCAGAACACACCTTCCGCTTGTGTTCCCGCCTACCCGGAGCTACTTAGTTTCCATTCTTCATGCTCTTATCTTCCCCGAAGGTGATTACCCTGGAGGTCGTCCCCACCGACGAGGTGTTCATTGCTGCTCTGCTGCGCGAAATGTATACATCTATATATTTTTACACATGTATATGTATATATATATATACACATGTTTGTGTGTTTGTATCTGCATGCGTATGGATTTGGTCGGTGCTGAGATTGTAAAGAGGACTCTGCAGGGCTAAGAGGCACTAAGAGCCAATCTTTCTGTGACCTGAGACCGCAGTTTTAGGCTGTCTCCAGCAGCACAAAGTACGATTTTTGGCTGGCATCTGTACAACTCACCAGCACGAAGATCGGAGAGGCATGATCTGATGCCTTGTGGCTATAAGTCCCAAAGGTATCAAGTGATCAGCAGCTGCCGTGTGCAGGCCTGCTTTCCGGTCTTCTCGGTTCTCCCTCGACTGAAGCAGGAGGAGACATCCTGGCTTCAAACTACTTGCTGAACCAAGTTTTTTTTGGGTGGTTGCCACGGCAGTGCACTAAGAACCCTGACTGTTGAAAGTCATGTTCCTGGCGCAGGATCGTGATGAAGATGGTATCATTTGGTCCTCTCCTATCATCCCTTTTGACGTGAGGCATGGAATCTTTTGGCGAGAGACCCTGGCGGCTAGAGTAGCCTCTTACAACATAGAGCTGCCAGGGACGAGGGCATAACTTCTGCACGTACCTACATCTCCTTCGAGACCTCGCAGGCGTGGCCCGTCTCTCAGCTGAAGTCGAAAGGTATCTTCCGTTCGGCGCTGTCTCCAGGCACCTGGAAATCCGCGTTGTCATAAACTCTCCGAAGGATGCTGTCAGATGTCCCGAAAGGCACCTCAGTCTTCAGCGAGAAAAGTGAAAGTCATCCCAAGTACTTACTTGCATGCTGTAAAGCCTCTTAAGTCATCCGCATAAGAACATGACTTGTGCTCAGTGGGACTCTGCCGACGACGACGGCCCCTACGACAGCAGTCCAAGCACACGTGAGAGTGAGTAGTCAATAGGCTGCATGGGAGCTGCCTCGAACGCGGCTCTTTGGCGCAAACATGAGGCTGTCCTGTGGTGCGCGAGCACTAGGTTCGGCAAGAGTCTGAACCGTGTGGATCTGGCTGCTCCGAAAGGAGGGTGCTTCAAAAGTGCACATTGTCCATCAGGCAGAAGGTGCAGGGCCGACCATGCCCAGGTCATGTCTTTCCTTGAGCTCGAGGACCAAGCCTGACATTCGTTGCCATTTTTATCAAGCCGTAGGACGCAGCCACTACAGGGTCTGCAAGACATGGCATGCAACCCCCTTGAAACAAGTGGATTCCTCTCATGATCCCCAATGACCCCTATAGTTCTACCCTATATAACCCCCTTTAATGAGTTTAGACTGTAGCTCATATGCACTTCTCCACCCCAAGCCTTGCAATAAACCCTGAACCAGTAACACTAGACAAAACAAACAAGCCGCTCCAGCAGCAGCAGCAGCAGCAGCAGGTGTCCCGCGTTGTAGTCAGTAGTAGTTGTTTTTTAGTTGCTGTAGTAGCAGCAGTAGGCTTCAGGAGGAGAAGAGTTGGTCGAGGCCTCAGCAGTCTTGGAGTCTCGGGATGATTGGCCCGTATTGGCCACACAACTACGAAGAAAACAGACTGTGTCTAGGTATTTTTGGGCAGATTGTACTGCAGGCTTGCAGTGCTGACCCACTTCGTCTGAAAGGATCTTGGAAGAAGTCACATCTAGCCCCTTGCGGAGAGCGCTTGCCTAGCCCCATGCGGTAGATCTGGTGGCTGTGAATGTTAGCAGGCACATGATGTAGGTGCAGATAAAGCCCATCAAGCGTCCATGACCGGTAAAGGTGAAATCTTGATGTCGCTGTTCCTCCGCAGCAAGCTTTGCCCGGATCTTTCCGGCTACCCGAGCATATCTTGCATTGATTCGCATGCAACAGCTCCCAAAAGGATTTGGCCACTCTACCGATGAAGCGTGTTTCCAACATTCGGGTAAATTTGCAGATGTCGCCAAATTTGAGCAGGCACACATGTTGGCACGGCTGAAGAATCGTTTGTAAGCCACAGGCTTTGTCCTGCCAGCTATGTCGTGCTGCAATGGATGGAGCTTGCTCAGAAGCCTGTGGTGCGGCCCAAGCACAATTCCACGTGGTCTGCACCTGCGGCTGCACTGGCCTTTGCCCAACAACCCTCTTGCCTATTTGTGTAGTTGCACCTGTCCTTCCACAAATGGAAAGAACCGCCTCCTCCTATGCAGTCGGGGCCAGAAACATCGAGCAACCGTGCCCAAACGCAAGCCCAAAGCCTTGTTGCACCAAATCCCCTGCGTCACGAAGATAAGCTAGGTCGGACAGAACTGGAGCGCTCCGGTCAACCGATGTCCTGGACGCCGGGCCACTGAAGCACGCCATGACGAATGCGAAGTCTCAGACCGATCCTGCATCGGAGATGCCGCTTGGTTGATGACTCTTGAATTAATGCTGCGCCGTTCTCTGATCTGACATGCCAGCAGCCCGATGTTCTGAATTGTGCTCGCATCGGTTGATGCATTCACATTTTTCATCATTTTTCTAGTCGGCCCTCCGCAGCTCGTGATGCAGCTCGTTGATGTGCTTACGGTACTTTCAGTGCTGGTAGGTACTGGCTGCACCAGACCGTTTGGGCAGTGAATCCCTGAGGCGCAAAGGACTCCGCTTGACAGCACTGGCCCTTGGCAAGCAGATACCCAGCTCTTGCGAGCGGCGCCTTCGGCTGCAATACTTCTGCTGGCTTGTTTGTTTCACTTCACTTGCTGAGGTCATTTTTTCAGTTGGCAGTCTTTGGCAGGTAGGGAGGGACTGATGCTGGCCAAGGACAAAGCCCCAAGACATGGCGGACGAGTGGAAGCAGCACGTGGAGGAGCTGAAGGGCATCTTGGCGGCTGCGTTTGAGAGCCTTGGCTGCAATTAGCTGGACATCAGGGCTTGCACCAGTGCACAAGTTGCATCAGCAGT